CTTGCCCTTAAAGTGGAGCTGTAAGTAAATGAGGCCGTTAAAGCCTCTTGGATTAGTTTATTAGGGGCATTATTTTTATACTGGGAGTATTGGGACGCTTTATACGTGGGTAATTAATTACAGACCAAACTACACATTCTTTTTTCTGTCACACTAGTAACACTGATGCACATAGTAGTAACACCAGACCTTCAGTCCGATAAAACCGTGCTGGTACAGAAACTACAGCTACATATGCTGCAACAGTCCTGGTACAGACAAACGCCGTCGCCAGGACACAGCAGAGCAGACGACTGGTTTCAGAGCCAATTACATCTTGAAATATTGAAGATAATAACTGCATTTTACTGCATGTTTGTACTAAAACAATATTGCTGCATACAAATGAAATATAAAAAGAGAAATTGATGAAATAAAATAAAAATTCATGCTCATGACTGGACCTAATGATATCTAGCGTGGCTCAAATGAAAGATTTAGCTTGATGTTGTGTCATCAGCTCAAAGCATAGTGTAAAGCCTGATCAAAAATGATTTACTAATGGCAGGCTGAGAAAGTGACACATCGTGGACTGAATACAGACCAAAGGTCCTTCAAAGTGGGAGCAATACATCACATTAGCATGTAAACAATATAAGACATTAGAGTACAGACTTGATGCTTTTGTTGTTAAAAATTGCTTCCAGAATTAGCTACTTTTCAGAGAGTTCAACACTGCAGTGCTTCCACCCAGGCAATGATCAAGCAACACACCTTTTGACCTTTGGTTAGCGCAGTGTTCACATCTACAAATATTATATTTGCATTGGTAAAATATCACAAAGAAAAGATCAAAACAGCAGTACGCTAAAGCAATTCTGTTGGAAAGGTGGCAATATATCTGAGTCATGCAAACACACTCACCAGGTTCTCCAGAGCAGCATGTTCCAGGAACTTCTGTGCAGCCTCCAGTTCATTTCGATCTAATAAAAAAAAAAAAAGTCAAACTTAATTTGTACAACTCCCAGTTCCTACATCAATTTAAGACATCAATTCAGTGCTGCCTTCAGTGCCACCAAGATTGTACCAGAAATTAAGATGATATAATTTATGTTTAATATAAAAAATGGCAATACTCTGTTGGGTCGTAAGCCATCATGAAAAAAAGTCAAGCAATTTAAAATCACAAATTAAACAAAAACAGATCGTAGACACTTAGAAATACATATTGTCTTAGGAATAACTCGTGTTTACCGAAATCTGACCACTCGTGAACGCAGCATCTTTTCAGCTGCCTGTGACGTCATGCACGCAGGCCGTGCCTCCAGCGTGCGCTTTGGCCGCCATTAGCATTAGCTAGCATTAGCCTGGTAGACTAGTTGTTTGAGCAAAAAACTTAATAAAATTGTACAAATCCGACTGAAATTAATGGGTGGTTCCTTTGTGGAAAGAAGGGGGGTAGGAGTGGAGTGACTTTGCAGTTATCTTCCCCTTTTACATCTTGCTCTTAGCTAACGGCTGAGCTACAGCAGCATGGGCGGGTCAGGGACGCTGCTTTAAGGCTACACCCTGGTACCAGGCCACGCTAAGCTTCCACCTCGACACCGCGACAAACAGACACCGCAGCAGTGGCTTTTTAACTCCTGAAACTGAGCTGCCGCTGTGCGGTAGAGGTAAACCGGTGTTTTCCTCCATTCCCCCAACACCGGCGGCGGCGGCATTGCGTCAGGCCATTAGCGCGGTTAGCTCAAGCTGCTAAAAGTGGCGTTTCTCTTCTTTGCCGCTCCAGGTCACTGAATCATCACTGGACCAGTAACTCTGTGTGACCATGGTGGTAATTTTGTCTCACCTGGGGATACGGTTTTCTCTAGGATAGCGATTAGTTCCATTCCGGGTCCCGGATCTCTCTCTCTTCTGTGCTCTTCTTTCGGTGACTCTGCTTTCGCTCACAGCGGGATTATTTCCTCTTCCACGGAGGTGCTTTGCTCTGGGCCGCGATATACTTCAGTGACCGCGAACAGAGATGGCGGTTCCCGGCAAAGCGCTCGGGTTTTCTGTACGCAGCACTGCGAGTAAATGTTCAATCTTAGAGTAGTGGCTTCCTTGCCGCCCGTTCACATCCTGTGATGTCGGGAGGGAAAGGGCCGCGCTTCGCTCCCGCGGAGGGATATCACACAGTAAGGCGGCGCCGTGCTACCTTCATGGTGTCACGGACGTTTCAGCTTTGAACATAAAAGGCTTTTATATGTGTTTATGGTCTGTCGTCTGTGCATTTTCGTCTTTTTATTCACAATTTCTCACAACTTTACGTTTCTTAACGCACCTATTTACTTATTAAGCCATTGTCTTTACTCACAGGCTCTAAGACGATAGATCAAAACAGCTTTTTTTTCTCTCTCGGCTGCTACGTCCAGGAATCGAAACTTCAGTAGATCACTTTCCGCCTTCTCACTCCATCCTCCCCTCTACGACTTTTTTTTTTTACATAAACCACCTACACGTGTCTTTTTTTTTTACATCTATGAATCTCTTGGCTTTCTTTTTTCTTCTTTGTTGGCAGTACTAACGTCAACATATTTTTGCCTAAATTATGTACTACCCCTCCTCAGTCCTAAATGTCTCTACCTCAACTTCATATGCCGGCTTCTCCACCCTAAATGTCCTCCTGATTGGTGATATTTTCCAACATTTTCTACCCTACCAACTCAACATCTTCGTCTGTGACACATACAGTTCAGCGATTACGAAGTTTTAGACTTGCGTGTTGGAGTTTTGGGATTCCTGGGCTCACGTGAACGCAACAGGATTTGCGTCCCGCGCGTCTTTTTATATGAATCCACGTACATGCGCATTGGTGCATGAGTTCAGCAAAGTTGAAACATTACCATATATATATATATTATTATTATGTATTTATTATTAATAATATTTTCTATTTGATTAGGTTTAGCTGATTAAACACATTTTCCATATATTTAAATCACATTGAGCTCTTTTCCATATTCTGGCATAATTATTTTTGAAAAATTGCCGTGGTTTACCCTCAGCTAAATCTCTTTGACGAACCCTTAGCTAGTTTGCTATGCAGCATTTTGTTAAAGTTTCCAGCTCTCTTTACATAATTGGGCTACTTGCTAAGCTAAATGTCGACATGTTTAATGTTTTGACCTATTATGTGTAAAACTTCAAGACTTAACTTTTGACAATTTTCCCATACTTTACTCACCTTGGCTATTTTAATTTGGTATTTCCAGATTATAATTCTCCATAGTGACATGACTTGTTAATTGACAGGCTTTTTCCTGCATAGAGAACTTGGTGGCGACTGCCATGGTCAAAATACACACATGAACCGGGGCTCTGAACCCAAGAGTTCATGAAATGGTGTGAAACCACAATTAATTTAATCTAAAAATAAGAAGAATGGGACAAGGCTTTTTTTCATGGATACCGGTCATTCGTGTGTCAAGAGCGAGTTATTTACAAATCAAAACAACTTTTAAATAAAGAGACCAAGGAAAGAGAAGATAGAAGACCGGTGAAATACTGTAGGTACTGTTATAAGCAGCTTAGACACAGTAATTCCTGCCATATTAGCTCGAGAAACATCTTTAATCTGACAGACATTATAACGGTGGGTCTTTGTTGATGCTCCTGTATACCAGTCATTTTTCAGACTGGTTTTGATTGCTGTGTCTTTTCAGATGCCTTCAACGAAGAACCATGATCGGATTTTCTTGGAGGACCGACCCCAGGAGTGGAGTGGTAGAACGTTTGAGTTCAGAATCATGAAACAGTTCTCGTCCAACTGGAGGTTCTGTGTGATTGACAGTTTGGACAAAGTATTGAAGAATCAAGAAGTTCATCCTATTTCTCTCATGTTTTTCCAACGTGCTGACAGCGTTGTCTTCTCTTTTCCATGAAGTTCCTCATACTGCTCGGATTTCCTAATACTTGGACTTATTGTGAAATCACAAATAGTTACTGGTACGGTTTTAAAATCTCTGGAAAAAGGTCCTTAATAGAAAACATGATGTCCCTTGTTCTTGAAAATTATTCTTTCTGGTACGATACTGGTGGCAATACTTATGTTGATGACACCAAAATGTTCCTGACAGTAGTTCCTGTCTTCGCTACTAGTTGCTACATTTGAAACATGTAGTTCCTCTCTTCCTAGTTGCCAGTGTATGGATTCCCTGGAATAAAAAATGTGTTCTCATAGTTCATTCAGTTTCTGGTGCCTAAATCCTGGGGGGAAAAAAACCACATCAACGTTGCAATAAGTTCAACTCATGTGGTGAGGGACTGGTGAGAGTTCGGGTCAAGAAGGTTGTTTTAAGACCTGGAAAATGTGGTGCACTCAAACTCAGGAACCGGGCGCAGGGAAGACGTTCTGGAATTCGTTGAGAATAAGCTCCACGATCTGACTTTGAAAGACCATGTGGATTGTCATGTTGGGGGACTCCACTTGTGGGCGCAGCAATGTGGGTCCAAACACAATCGCAAGGCTCTGAACCGACATCCGATTGGACTCCCTGTGCTGGGTCACCCTGCGGGGGGAGGGGGGAGAGAGGGTGTGGTTAGGAGAGCTGTGACCCAGAGGGCTACGTGGCGTGGGAGGAGCCTCACCTGCGCAGGTGTTTGAACAGCAGCTCCATGGTGTTGTGGTTCGGCAAAGGCAGAGCTCGGACCAGGTCCGTAATGTAGGAAACCCTTAGGTCGTAGTCTGGAATCTCTGCAGGAAGACATGAATAAGAAACATTCTGGAATAACCAACGACACAAGCACAACCTGAGATAACCCATGGAGTAGACAACCAGGAACATCCACCGTGATGAAAACCTATATGTTTATATACAGTATAATGTATCAACATCCGACATGTTGGTCATTACATCCCGCTGTCTCGACTCACGGATGGCAGTGATGAACTTGTGGAAGCAGCTGAATGGGAACAGTGGTTCTGGAAGTTCTCGGAAGAACAATTTGAGTGCTCCAGTGATGACGTGGATCTCCTGCCACTGTCCATCATCTAGGTCCAGCTGCTCCTCTGCAGGGGGCGACAGAGAGACGAAAGGGCTTGAACATCAGAGCTGTGAGTGTGAGTGTGTGTGTGTGTGTGTGTGTGTTGTGACACACGTGATCAGCTTTATGTCGTAATTTCTGGATCACAGCCAGATTTCCACTTACTCGGTAGATTCCATCAATATCCAGACCTGAGGACAGAGACACACACACACACACACACACACACATACACAGCATGTTGTACTTTGCGTGGAAAAGAAACAGGATTTCTGCTCCATCAGCATCTTCAGGAATCTACGCCCCAAAAAACCCGACTGGAACGACTGGTCAGTGTCTTCTCCTGGTTGTAGTTAGACTTTAGTTCTGGTCCCAGTTTGTCATTGTCTCTTATGATGTCAGAAGGTGTGTGTGTGTGCGTGTATGTGTGTATACCTCTTCTCTCAACAGCTCTCACACACTTCTCCACAAACTTCGGAACAGTGGTGTTCTCGCGGTGACACAGCGTGTCCAGGTGACAGCCGAAGACATTGTCTGCACAGAGACACGTCGGTCAGGACGCTGGTGACACGACGACAGTTTCATGATGTCACGTCACGTCTGACTCACCTCTGATGTAACCTTTCTCTTTAACGCTCTGTAGCGTCGGACGCCGCTGGAGGAAACGTTTGAGTTTAGTCCGAATTCGCTTCTGTTCGGAGTCGGCCGATCCGGTGGAGGACCTGCTAGCTGCAAAGTCAAAAGTTAGCACAGAGTTATCTGGACAGAACTTCTGTCTTGAAATGAACCTGAAATGGTAAAGAGTAAAAATAACTGTTTGCAAAAAGTAGGACACAATTCTACCACACCAAAAGAAAACACAGATTTAAGCTCCCAGAGCTCCCCTTGTGGTCATATACGGTAAATCCGAACAGGTAAATATCAAGCATTTGAACTTAGTGATCAACGGCTGATGTGTCCTTGAGACAAAATGAGTGAAAATCACTGATGTCACTGATCAGCTGACTGATGACCTCACCTGTGGTTGTCTGGTCCCTGTCCTCACGGTCTGACCCGGTCTCATCCTCTTCATCTGTCAGGTGTTCCCGATCCTAGAACAGTTCAACAGGGTGTTAGCTTGATCTTGATGATGATGATGATGATGATGATGATGATGATGATGATGTCACTCACCAGCTGTGTGATAGCATCCAGGATGACCTTCAGCCAGTCTCCAATGATGCTCTCAGTGTCGTACTGCATCAGGATCTCGCAGCCCTGACGGGTCTTCAGCTACAAGGCGGAAAAAGTTACTTCGGACACACAGACATCTGCCCCACATGGGCCACAAAAAAAAGCCTACTGCTGTATCCATGACAACGGCTTCCTACCTCCAAAACGTTCTTTTTGGATGATTTCTCTTTGGAGGCCCAAACGATGGTTGCACCTCTGAGGTCCACTGTGTATTCTGGAACAATCTGAGACGTTTTACTCTGAAAACAGGAAGTGCTGAAACATTACTGTTCTGTGCATATGTGTGTGTGAGAGTGTGTGTGTGTGTGTGTGAGCGTGTGTGTGTGTGTTACTCACTGCTGTCCCACTTGGAGCAGATTTTGGATCTTTGTGAAATGTCAGAATTCCTCCATGGAGGACGGTCCAGGACTGAGTCCAGTTCTTCCTGAACAACACACACACACACACGTCACAGTTACTGTGAACACACACACACACAAACACACAACCAAATGATAAACCAACCCACCTCATCTTTTTGCCATGATCAGCTATTTTGGTTTTGTTGATGATTCCTGCTTTCTCCAGCAGGTGGTTCTGTGCACACACAAACACACACACACACACACACAGACACACACACACACCCTGTGTTAGCGTTCCTCAAAAACAGATCGTCAAGAGAACAGGAACTAAAGCCAATCAGAGGTGAGATCCTACATGCTGTTGGTGAGAAGCCGTGATATGATTGGACAAATTCCTTCTGAGCCTCTGTCTACTGGAGAACTGAACACAAACAGTGACAACAACACAGACGTAAATGAATGAATGAATGAGTAAAAGAGTGACGTCAGGACGGCGCGTGTACCTGTGCGCTGTCAGGAGACAGTCTCCTATTGGACATATCGGACGTAACATCGGAGACATTTCTCCTGTGGGTGGCGCCAAAGCTCTGAAACAACCACAACAAATTCTGGTTACATTTTAAAGAAATTCACACCAGCTATCATCTCGTTTACCAAAACTTGTACTTGTTACTAGATGTAACTACTTCATAACCTATTAACCTTAGTTATACCAGTAATTATTACTAGACTAGACTGTATAGATGTAACTACTTCATAACCTATTAATAAATGTTTCTGCAATTTATTATTATTTAAATTACAAATATGTTTCAATGCTGTGTTATATATATATATATTTTAATTTATCAGGTTAAGAAACTATGACTTTTTCTAACTCTGCTGCATGGAATTTCTTGAGTGATTTTTAAGGTCCTGCGGGCCATGGAAAATGACTTGACGGGCCGCATTGGGCCCCCGGGCTATGAGTTTGACACACGTGGCCTACACCTAATCTAGTGTCAACAGACATGAGTCCTCACCTCCTCGGCCACGCTGTGTCTCCAGTTTCTGACTTGTAAATGTGTTCCTTCCTCTGAGACTCCATTTCCCATCCTCCTTAGAGGCACAGGAGGAACCTGGAATAGTTATTAATCAGACGATCAGTCAGGTGTGTGTGTGTGTGTGTGTGTGTGTGCGTGCGTTTCGTACCACAGTGAAGACATCGTCCTCGTCCTTTTTGTTGCCGCCGTGTGACGGACTAACAGGATAATCTTCTTCCGGCAGTGGAGGCTGAGGACAAACAAACTCATCAACATCAGAGGCTTCCATCAATATCAGTACAGATGAAGTCCTGTTCAAGTGGTGTGCTGTGCTGCCCCCTGCTGCTGGAGGATGGAGTTAGCAGTTCAGCCCCAGACCAGTAGGTGGTGCCTGGAGCTGCAATGATGCTGTACTCGTCAATCCTCAACACCTAACAGAGTACTGTTATACTGCAGTACAGAGTATTATTATAGTGCAGTACTTTTCTTAAACACTTGTACCCTGAAAACATAGAACAGAGTACACTTATACTGCAGTACTGGTACTTGACACCCAGTACCTTGTGCACAAAGTACTATTATAGTAAGGTACTTTTCTTTATACACAAGAATCCTTAGGTCATAGTATAGAGTACTTTTATAATTGAGTACTATTTCCTAACCCTAGTACACTGATGACAGAGTACTGTTGTACTGCAGTATTGCTACTTAACATCAAAACCATGGGGACATTACACTGAGTACCGTCACACTGCAGTACTGATCCTAGTACCACGGAGTACACAGTTGGAGACACAGTGGAATCGTACCTGAGCTTCATCTGCTGATGTCAGCGGGGAGGCGGGGCTTAACATTTCCATCGAGGAGGAAGAGGAAGGGAGGCTCTGACCTGGATTTGTGGGGGCAGGGACAGACGGTGGGGGGGGTATTGTACTGTCGATGGAGATGTGAAGGGGGGTCGGCTTCTTCAGAGACAGGTTGGCGTAGACGGGTAACGGGGCGAGAGAGGTGTCGTTCTGCAGAAAGAGAGAGAGAGACTGATGTGACGAATAAAAGATCCAAGGATTTGATTTCCAGATTCAAGGAATCTGTTCAGAGATCTAATATGTGTTCAAGGAATAATGGAACAAGTAGAAAAAAGATTTCAGGAACCTGTTCTGCCCCTTCCACTTCACCGATGACTCACCTGCCCGGGGGGTGTGGCCGGTTTATCATCAGGTCCTGGTTCCGGACTGGGTGGGCCTTTGAGCAGAGCCGGATCCAGGTTAAGGTCCTGGATTGACTCATAGATGTGGTTTAGATCCTTAGGAGATTCAAGCTCCTCCAGGTCCTCCTCCTCTTCCTCGGGTTCTATCAGGGACTCCTGGTCCTGGTCCTGATCCTGGTCCTGGTTCAGGTCCATGTCCAGGTCCAGGTGGTCGGAGAGGGACAGAGAGGACGTGCTGTTGACATCAGAACTTAGGCAGATAACAGGGACCACAGGGGTCTCCACTGGTACGAGTTGGTTCTGAGACCAGGTGACGGGTTCTGCCGTTGTTCTCTCAAAGTCCGGTTGGTTCTGAGACCAGGTGACAGGGACCAGGCTGGGTTCTGCCGTTGTTCTCTCAAAGTCCCAGTGCTGCTCAGATCCTGCTAGGAGGGCAGACCTGGACTCAGAGGGAGCAGCAGGTGACCCACTGCTCCAAATGGAATGGGACAGTTCATGGGAGTCCAGTGGAACCCCGAAGGTGGACATGCGGTTCTCCGGTTTACGGTACCCCTCAGGTCTGAGTCTTATGGTCACCTCATCTGTTTTTGTTCCGGAACCGTCCAGAGTCTTTGGTACAGGGATGGGCACAGGGACCGGAACAGGTGCTGCCACAGGAAGAAGTGCTGGTTCAGGCTCAGGTGTATCACTGAAGTTCAGGGGCAGGTCCACAGGAAGTTCTCTGACGTATTTGGCAGGAATGTAGAAAGGTTTGGAACTGCAATCACTCCGCACCTGCCACCAGTGGTCATTGGTCTTCGCCAGAAGAACGTAGCGTTCATTAGGTTTAATGGAGACCAGATCTCCGTCCCGACCCTGATACTCGTACTCAAACTCCACCAGAACCAGGCCCAGACCTGCAGTAACAGAATTACCAGTTAGTACCTTTTTTTGTTTGAATTCCAAAGGTAGTTGCTAAATGTTGTACTTTGTTCTGATGCTGTGGAACTAACGGAACAAACTTCAGCAACGTTAGCATTAGCCCTTCTAGCATTAGCTACGCTAATGTTTGTTATTTCACCGTAGCTCCCTGTTTCTGAACGTGTTTCTGTACTGCAGAACTCACCTTTACCGAGCAAGGAGGACGCCGTCGCCATGGTGTCCCCAGCCCCCTGGCTGATGGGTCAAAGGTCACAGCTAATCTATGGTTACTGAAAGTTAAAAAACAAACAAACAAACAAACAAGAAAGAATGTTTTTCAGCTTGTTTTTCCTACATCATAGTTCATAGAACTTCTGACAAGATCTTTCTGTATCTATTAAAATCCCCTCATGTTTTCCATCACGTATTTATTTTTTTTTCCCATTTCTATTCTTCATTGCACCTGGTATTTTTTTAACCCTTTTATGTCCACTTTCTGTGTTCAGTCACGGTTTCATTTTCCGCAGAGAAAGGGTTTTCTGTAGTAGAAAAGCAGTTTTAGTGAGGGAGTTCTGCAACATGGCCCCAGGATTTGAGGAATTCAAGTCACTTCGTGTTCCGGGTGCTGAGAAACTTCCCATGGAAAGAGGAAGAAAAGTATGAACGACTAGTTTGAACAAGTCACAACGTCATACCTGAGACCTGAACATTTGAAGCTAGTGCTGCTGAAATGAATGTAGGTACACCACTCCCTCTCCCAGACCAAAGTCCATGGAGAAAATCAGTGATTTTAACTCCCAGACCAAAGTCTACAGAGTGTTGAGTCCAACGGTGAGATCAAACTGTCACATGACCACAGACAGAACAATGGCAGGAGGTCTGATCTATTTTCCTTGGGAAGTGTCTGCACTTCCTGTCTGCTCTAAACTCCGCCCACATATCTGTGATGTCACACGCTGTGTGTCTGTGTTTCCTGTCATTGTACACCAACAATGGTTTGTGTGCAATTATGTATGTGTGTGTGTTTGTGTGTGTGTGTGAGAGAGAGAGAGAGAGAGAGAGAGAGACTCTAGGATCTCCTCCTATTCTGTGTGTTTATCTTCCAGCCACACCTTCATGAGCAGCCTGGAATGTAAAGTCACACACACACACATAACCACACACCCAAACACACACACACACGGCTATTTCAATCATCAAACCGAGGTCAAAGGTTTGTTCGGCTGGACACGCCCCTGCCTCGGTCGAAAACATGCATGAGCAGGTCAGAGCGTTGGCTCCGCCCACAGAGAAATATATGTGTGTATGTGAGAGGGAGAGAGGGGGAGAGAGAGCGAGAGAGAGAGAGGGAGAAGAAGAGAGAGAGAGAGAGGGAGAGAGGGGGAGAAGAAGAGAGAGAGAGAAAGGAGTGACAATGTAAGATTCCCATATTATGACCATGTGACCAAGAAGTATTGACGAGTCCAAACCCACACAGTTTGGTCGCAGAGGTTTAACAAGGTTAAGCTGGTGTGTAGTTGGTGTGTAGCAGGTAAACATCGTTGTTAGCAGAGTGAAAGTCCTAGCGTGGCTGATGTGGAGGAGTTATAATCAAACGTAAGCGGCTATCTAAAAAGGTGTAAACATGAAATATTTGGCAAAGAAAACACTTTCGGCAGGGAGTCAGCAGATACTCGTCATGTTTGAGTAAAGATGTAATAAAGTTTCAGCCGGAGAGATTTGGTATTAACCAATGTTGTTGTTAGGGCGTCAAAGCAGGTGTTACAGAAAGTGTTAGCAGGTTTAGCCAGGTTTGTAAAAAGGGTTCGGGGGGTGTTTTCTCGATGCGATAGCGTTTGTTACCATGTGGTATCTGCTGTAGCCGAGTGTTTAGTAGATGTGAAGCAATGCTAGCTAGTTTTGACATGTGTAAACAAGTGCACGCAGTAGTTATACAGTTGTTTGACGCGATGCAAAACGTTTGTCACAGATTTTTTTTTTTTAGAAAGTGTTCATGTTTGGATGTGCTGTTTGGAATTCCAACAACTAACTAGACCTACAACACATTTTATGAAGCTTGAAAAAAACAAACAAAACAACAACAACAAACAACGCAATAAATCCCAAGAAGCTGCAATGATACTAAAAAAAAAACCCCTCTGACAACAGCGTTTATGCAGCACTTTGGAGACGTGAGTAAAGATAATTAGACCTCAGGAAATGAAGCAGCCTCTAAAACCCAGCAGAATAAAAAAGTCCAGGAGATCAGGTTCAAAAGGCTTCAAACTGCTCTGAACCCATTGTCCTGTAACAAAAGAAAAGATGTAAAAAAAAAAAAAGAAAAAAGAAAAAAGAAAAGGTAGTGTAACAGTAATGTCCAGGTAATGACATTACTCCTGGACTCCACTGTAATCTGATCCGTAACCTGAACCTGAATGAACAGGAGTGTGGTTCAGCCAAGAAAACTCTTCCCCAAAACACACACACACACACACACACACAGACCTGTAATGTCGGTTTAGGATCAGGTCTCAGTCTCCAAAGAAAACCTTCTCAGATAAAACTACTTCATCTCCGTTTTAAAAAAAACCCCGATTAAAACATTTAACGATTAAAAGTAAATAAAGTAAAAACAGTTTTTACGACTTTTACCTGAAGTTAAAGACTGTTTATCCTGCGGATCCTGAAGGAGAGCGAGTCCAATCCACTCACACAGCTCTCTCTCTCTCTCTCTCTCCCTTGCCACGCCCACTACCGACCTGTCAGAACTTGCCCCGCCCCTCCCCGGCCGTCACCCTCTAATCGTACATCCTGTTTGTCAGATTTTCAGCTCAGCACCCCCCTCTGCTGACACAAGGCAGAATACCGCAACATCCAACCTTCAACAAAACAGTACGGTAGTTCATATCGACTAACCCAAACCACCGCAAACTGGAACTAACTGTAATGACTGACGCCGACTTTAGGATTAATACTTGGTATACGGTAAATGTTAGTAAACATGAACGCCGGTAAATATCGCTAAACCGTTGGAAACATTTGTAAACACTGAAAAAACAATTCGAAAATTTGTTTAAAAAAAAAATGTCAGAGTCGCTGAAGCGTCAACTTCAGGAATCTGAATAAAGTTAATAAAAATCACATCAAAAAAAGTGTTTCTCAGTATTTGTAGTACAATCATAACATAATCACCTATAAATAACAATAAGTCCATGTTTCTCCCTTTTTGTTTTAATGCAAAAACTACAAATGTATTAGAAAAAAATGTATATTTAATTAAATATTTGGAAAAAAATCACTACCATGGAGTGTTTGTGCATTTCTTTCCACTTTCAACATTCATCAAACAGGCCATATTGATGCTCCCAGTGGGCTGGGTTTGGCCCACAGGCCATATCTTTGCCCCCCTGTTGTAGACTGTAGACTATAGACTGTCAATCACTGACATTATGGACCCACTGAAACTGTCTGAAAATTAGCCAATAACAGGACAGAAAAAAAGTTGCTCAGCCAGAAGAACGAGAATGTATGTATCTCTTCACACCTCTCTCTCTGTCTCTCTCTCTCTCTCGTTCACACACATATATATACGTACACATACACACACCGACATCTTATTTCATTAATTCGATTTTTTTTTTAAATCTTCTCAGTCGTGGACTTCTTTGAGTGACAGCTGCTCACTCTTTAATTACCAACGAACACATCAAGTCTCACATCAGCTCTTCCTGCACCTGCTGCTGTTAGGCCACGCCCTCAACTGGTGATGTCACAGCGCCAGTAAGACCTGAGTGTCAGGATTTTTTCACCTGCACCTGGATACCAGATACTGACCGACTGAGGTAAGACCTGCTCCAAAACTTCTTTCAAAAACTCTTCCTTTTTGTGTTTTAAATGTCATAAAATTAATTCCTGCTCCACAAAGAATCTGAGCCTGGTTTAGTTATAATGTATAATCTAATTGAGGATTTGTTCTAATTTGTTTTAATACTGAACTCAATCTGTTTTAATCCCGGTCTAATCCTGGGTCCTAAAAAATATGAGTAATCCCAGTTCTGTTAAAGTGAATCAAACTCAGCTGTTCACATCTGCTCATCTTGACTAGAACAAGCTAAGTTCAAACTCAGCTGCTCATCTTGACTAGAACAAGCTAAGCTAAGCTAAACTACACCCAGCTAATCTCAGCATTGAACAGGTGGTGTCTTAGAGAAGTTACTCCTGGCCGAGACCAGATCGACAAAAAAAACAAAACAAAACCTGGTCCCATCGTGGTGTGGTTCTTCCTCATCTGATCTGGTCTGATCTGGTCTGCTGAGATCTGTCCTGGTCTGATGTAGTGTTTCCTGGTCTGATGTAGTGTTTCCTGGTCTGATGTAGTCTGGTCTACAGGTACAGAAACGGTGCAGCCATGGCGGAGGCAGCAGCTCCAGAGTTCTTTTCAGAGCAGGAGTTGACCTGCTCCATCTGTCTGGATCTCTTCGTTGAACCCGTCTCCACTCCGTGTGGACACAATTTCTGCCAGGTAACATCAGTTTCTAGGTCCTGGTTCTGGTTCAAGTCCTGCTCCAGATCCTGGACCTCCATGGACCAGAAGTTAGAGATGATATGATTAACTTTAGTTTGTGTTAAGTTAACGATTGACTGGGGTTGGTTATGACCAGGCTCTGACCTAGTCCTGGTCCCGGTCCTGCTCTAAGTCCTGTTCCTGATCTGATTTTCCACAGGCCTGTATCGGAGGTTACTGGGCGTCCAGCTCCGTCTGCACGTGTCCTCTGTGTAAACACAACTTTGACGAACGTCCTCTGCTCAACGTCAACAAAGTCTTTGCTCTAATCTCCGAAAAATATCGAATCGCTCGCTATGGTGCTGCTGCCGCCATGGCTGCCCAGCCAGACCACGGGTCAGTTACAGCCAGGACCACGGAGTCCTTCAGAAAACCGGACGCCGCTGCGTCCAGCAAGGAGACGGTGTGGTGCGACGTGTGCACGGGGATCAAAGAGCCCGCCGTCAGCTCCTGCCTCACCTGCACCGCGTCCTACTGTAATGAGCACGTGAAGCCACACGAGAGTTCCGTTTTCTATTCCAAACACCAGCTGTTGCATCCACAGGAGGCGCTGAAGGGCCGCACCTGCTCCCAACACCGCCGCCTGATGGAGGTGAGTGGAAGTACGGGGTAAAGATGTCTAAAGTGTCTAAAGTGCTAGTCTGACATGTTAAAGTGCCGTGGCTCTGAGCTAAGCTAAAGTGCTAGTCTGACATGTTAAAGTAAATGTAAGTAGAAACTGCCCACACTGTAACGTTACACCCTCCCCCTCCTCACCCCCCCACCCCAGCAGCAATAGCATCCTTGTAAGACAAAATTCCTTTTTTCTATAGGCTTTGGTGAGGAACAGGGTGTGGTCTCCAACGTTGAGTCAAAAACCTGTGTTTTTTTTATCTGTACAGGTTTTCTGTCAAGTTTGTCAGAAATGCATCTGCGCCATCTGTGTCCTGGAGGAACATCGCACCCACAGAACCGTGTCGGTCCAGACGGAACGGCTTAGCAAACAGGTACGGGAATGAAGTGGGGGGGAGGTCACCTGATGACGTGAACGCCTGCTGTGGTGTTCAGCCAATCACGGGTGTGTGTCCGTTTTTCAGAAACAAGTGGCAAAGACAGAGCAACTGATTCTTAACCGAATCAAAGAGCGAGAACTGTACGTGGGCGAGCTGAACAAGAAACTGGACTCAGCGAAGGTAGGAGCTGCCTGCTGAGGATTCTGTTGATAAAGGTGTTGTGGAAAAGCATCACAGGATAAAAACAGGAAGCTGAACGAGCTCGGTAGAAAAGAAATAAACTCAGAAGAAGTAGCGGAATTTTACAGTAGAACTTTAGAAAAACCAAAGATCTAACATTTGTCGGCAGAACTATGCAGACCGAGAGCGTGGAGAGGTGGAACAGTTACTGGACCAAGTGGCCCAGGCCCTGGAGCGAATCCGGACTGACGTAGTGGGTGGGATCGAGGAGCAGGTGGATACTGTCATGACCAAGGGGTGGCGCCTGGTGAGCAGTTTGGAGGCAGAGCTGACCCAGCTGACGGAGAAACGCGCCACGCTAGAGATGCAGGCCATCAGTCAGGATCACATCGGCTTCCTGCAGGTGAGGCATCAAAATAAAAAAGATTCTGCTTCCTGTGGGCGGAGCTTCACCTTCACGTTAGTGTCTTGACTGTTGGTGTCTCCCCAGAGCTTCGACAGTGCCACAGCTCCACTGGAGGAGGATCAGTTGAGCAACCTAGATTCCGACTCGGACTTTTCTCTACACTTCCACCTGGTGGATGTGAAAAGCTCCCTGACAGAGGTTAAGGAGAAGATGGAGGACATCCGGATGGGGTCAGATATGTCCCGCAGCTCCAGAGGCTCCTGTGAGTTTTACTGTTAGTTTAGTTGTTTGGTGGAGGAGTGGAGGGAGGCACCAGTGCTGCTGGGCTAACAGGACAGGAACTGGAATTGCTCACATTTCAAGAATGTTGTTTTCAAAGATGTCCCGGAGCCCACAGTGTGACACTTGGTGAGATGGAGAGACGAGTGGACGGACTTTGATCCGTGGTACAGATAAAGGCAACACTAAATATTAACACCAGAATGTTTTTAAAACATATACAAGAGGAAAACTCTTGATATCCAATGTCAAATGTCGATTCTTCATCAAACCATAACGACCCCTGTGATCCTCCTCCTCCTGTCTCTCCCTTACAAGCCCAACCACAGCAGTGTCAAAAAGAAATCCTCACCTGTGCATATGCTCTGCTGAACACTCTCTCATTTCGATGTATTCTGTAATGCAGTCTAATAGTCTGTCTCATTCGGGCTGTAGTTTCGTCCGGTGACCTGATGGCGGCGGAGAGCGTGATGAGCCTAAGAGGAAGCAGCACAAGTCTGAGGAAGAGCCATTGGTCTTTAAGAGGTGGGTGCTGACAGCCTGTGGTGACACGAACAACGGCAGGTTAAAGGTTAAAGGTTAATCATGGAAATGATACGAATACAGGAAACACAAAATACAGAAGCAGAAAGTGGAGAAGAACAGTACCTGCTCTGATGAACATGCCGCTGGTTTACAGGGATTACTGAATTAGAACAACAAATGGCTGCAACTCGACTTCCTCTGCTGGTAGCGGTGTGTTGTTATTGTTATACAGTTCTGAAAGGCACAGAGTGGTGTGACTGCAACTTGACTGCGTCATAGTCTCATCTCTGGACTTCTGCAAAATTGGCAAAAGTTTATGATAAACGACAAAAACAAAAAAAAGAAATTCAGACTACATGCAACAAATGAGCTTGGTGCGGCCAAAAAACATATCAAATTAGCAAAAATGCAATAAAGTCAAATACAGCTTAATATTAAGAATACACTGCAGCAAAAAAAAAAAGAAAAGCAAAAACAATGAGTGAAACAATAACAAAGGAGAAGATAAATAAGCTGAAACTTCCCCAAAACTAAGCTAAGTAATTAACTGTTAGCCATAGAAAAGTTAATCAGCAAATTAGACACGGAACTTCAGTTTATTTACTGTGTTTTTCTGTTTCATGCAGAGCGGAAGAAGAACAAACTCATCTTAGGTCAGTCCTCCTTCTTCGTTCGCTTCTTTTCTCACCGTTTATCTCCTCCTCAGATCTTAAACTTTGTTTCCTCTGATTTTAGGACTTAAAAAAGCCCGACTTTACATCGGTGAGTGTGGCGTCACTGCATCTGGGGCAGTAAAGTGGATGAAAATGTGGGACAGTGATAAAGCACGTGGTGAAACCCTTCACCTGACAATCAGGTTCCAGTGACTGTGTGGGTGTGACTGGGAGTCAGGGTGTGAAGACTTGTTTGTTTTGACTGAAAATGTTCAGATAGCAGCAGAGAGGTTCCAGAAAACATGGGCGTTGTTGAAGTTTCACAGGTGCTGCTCCTGGTTCTGGTTCTGATGTGTCCGTCTGTGTGTCCGTCTGTGTGTGTTTCTGACCGAGGACGTGAGCTTGAACCCTCTCACAGCCTATCCCTTCCTGATCCTGTCTGAAGACAGGAAGCAGGTGAAACGAGGAGAGAAGCTGCAGTTTTACAGAAACTCTTCACTGAGGTTTTATGTTTGGAGCTGCGTCAGTGGGAAGGAGGCCTTCAGCTGTGGACGACACTACTGGGAGGTACGCACACGCACTCAAACATACGCACATCCACACACACACACTCGCTCACACTTGTGTCTCACCCACTCAGGTGTTTGTTGGGGAGAATAAAGACTGGAAACTGGGCGTGGTCACCGAGTCCGCCCAGAGGAAAGGTCTGTTTGACATGAGTCCATCCAATGGTTACTATGCCATCTGGTGGAGTGGCAGTCAGCTGAGAGCACTCACAGCACCACCACTGACCAAGGTGAGAACTGCAGACGAGTCTGACTGTAAAAACTGTCGAGTCACCCAGGCTGAGGTTAAGCTTTTTAGTTTGAACTGAACTAACGTCTGCTGCGGAGGTGATTTTTCTTGGTTCAGAGTGAGTCTGTGTGTCAGCAGCAGGGGGTGCTCACTCATCGTGTCTGTCCTGCAGGTTAAGAATCCTCAGAAGTTGCGTCAGGTGGGCATTTTCCTGGACATGGATATGGGTCAGGTGACCTTCTTCAACTCCAAGTCGGGCTCGGAGATCTACAGCTTCACTGGAACGTCAGAGTTCACCGAGCGAATGTTCCCCCTGCTGGGGACTGGAGACAAGGAGGTTCCTCTCGTTCTGATGACCACACAGCAGCATCCCAGCTGAGGGATGTCCAAGCACCAACCAGCTGATTGACCTGTCAATCATCAGCTGTGACCAAATGGATTTGTTCACGTGAAGATCCTGATTGAAACAGATATTGTGTTTAAACGATGTGACGACAGCCCAGGTCAACGTTTGTTCACGTATATTAAAGATGTTCTCTGTGTCTGTAGCTGAAACTATGGTATGATTCATTTATCTCAGACAATGGGAGGGGTTAGAGCCCCCCCCCCCCCCACGATTCTGTGGCATTCTTGTGTCAGTGTCAAGTGTTGAGGTGACGCAACTTAATCAGCTGACATTCAGGTCGTAGTAGTCCTGTCAGATTTTACACACAAGCGTGCAAAAAGTAAAAGAAAATTCAAACTCACAGAGCACTGTAAAAGGAAAACTCATGCCAGGGACTGGGACGGGGCCAGGACTAGGTGGCGTTCATGGTCTTGCGTACTTGGGAGCACAAAACTGGAAGAGCAGAATGACAGCAGGGGGTGTGGTCGCAATGTCAGCGCTAAAAACCACACCCCCACTCAACATCAGCTGATATTGGCACGTCAGCCCAACACTGATCACTTGTGAAGGATACAGAAGCCCTGCAGTCACAAGTGAGTTACATTTCCATGTTAACGTCACGTATGACGACGGTTCTGGTGCCAGCATCGTGAGCAGGACCTTGTGGAAGTGCAGCTGCCTGTTATGCAGATATACATGTTTGCTGATGATAAAAAAAGAGAAATAAAAACAGTGTTTACTGAGGAGGTCAAATACCAACTTAGGAAAATATATTGGATCAAACATGGAACTGCAACAAAAGTGTGACCGTAGTAAAGAAGGAGCCTCTAGAAAAATAAAAAGAAACCTGGACAAATCAGAGACAAAACATTTGTCTGACCTAAACATGGTCACATGACTGGCTAAGTTCAGGCTCGTATTATCCGGACCATTAAGGTTCAGTTCATATTTTATTTCACAGAAATGGTTGCAGTCAGTGTGAACAGATCAACTTAATAAAGACAACAGATTCCTAACATTTAGGCCCCTCCCATTTTACTTTGCCCACCCACTCAAGTAACCTAAACCAACAACCCCTCCCCTAAATCCCTCCCAGGACATGCTCTGTTAAAACATCGTGACAGTCCAACCCAACGACAGCATCAGCCTGTGACAAGTAGCCAATCCCGTGCATCTAATTACTGCTGTCCAGACTTTTAGGCTCCGCCCTCTTTGACCAGACCTACCCACCACTTTCAGAATGTTTCGATTCAGCGTGCGCAAGACAACCAGGTCAGGTCAAAAACATTTTCACCTCAACATAGGTTACATGTCTGCATTGCCCAGGACCCCCTCCTAAATTCCTCTTTCACCCAACAACCAATGTCACAACCAATGTTTCCGTGTCTTCGATAGACCACACTGTTCTGTTTAGCTTCCTGTAGGCTGCAGCAGAAGACACCGGCTGTAGCCATTCCACTTTTAACCCCACCCCCTTGACTCTTAGAGTTTTTTTTTTTAATCAACTATGACTTCTCATATTTTATCAATCCCCCTGCATCAAACCTGGAAGAGTTCACAACCTTCTGACCCCATGGGACACTGGCCCCACTGGCCGTCACTAAAATAAAATAAGAAAAAAAAAAAAAAAAAAGAAAGAAAAACATCATCATCATCATCAGAGGCTGGCGTCATTCAGCCAAACACTGACCCCCCCTCAGCTCCACCCACCCCATCATCATGACCACCATGGTTATATGAGGCCGCCCTCTGTCGGCCATCTTAGAAGTCCAGTCTGGTGTGTAAACGCTTCAAATCAAACAAGAAATGAGGGGGAGGGGAAAGGGGCGTGTTTTAGTGTCCTGCTGTGGCGTGCTGCGTTCAGCTGCCGCCGCTGCCCCCACCTCGTTAGGAGTAGCAGCAGCAGGAGATGATGCGTGCAGGGGAGGGGTCAGAGCAGGGCGTTTATTTCAGACACCTCTCAAAGTAGGTGGCACCCACGTATCCGCCTCGCAGGGAGCGATGCACATTCTGCTCAAAGAGGCGACGGTTGGTCTGCAGGACCTCAGCAGCTTCTTTGTTCAGCGGGTCCTCAGGGTTTGGCTCCTGGGTTTTGGGGGGTGACCAGGGAGAATGACAAGGGACTGTTATCAGAGTCAACAGTTTAATAATCATCACAACAGAGCAGCCTTACAACTGTGTGACGTCATACAGCTGTACTGAGTTGTTATGCATGTACTGTGCATGGTTGTATAGCTATAAATGTGTACTGTGTGTGAGACTCACTAAAAACAGGTACTGTAGTCCATAGATGATGGAGTTCACTGTTAACACTGGTTTCCAGTCTTCTCTGCAAACATACAAACAAATGGGGCTGCAAGAAGTTTCCACAACAGGAAGTAGGTGTTTGTACTGTACAAGGAATTTGAACACTAGTCTAACAAGCATTTCCAGGTTCTGTACCAAGAACCTTCCAGATACTGTACCAGAAAAAAAGTTGGTGTCAAAGTGATGTTTGGTTTAAAGAATTAAATAGAGACAATGTTGCAACATGTTGCTGCTCTTAACAACAATTGCAAAATTGTGACTTTTAATTTCCCATTTTACTGCTGCTGCAAAAAACACTTAAAGTCTAATCATACACTTTATGAAATTTCATAGAGTCACTCTTCCTTTCATAATTTCATGTCATAACCTTGACATGTCATCAACTTCTTTGTCACATTATTTTGATACATTAAAAAATCAACTTCTTCTTTGTCACATTATTTTGATACATTTTCGTAATACAATCTTTTTTGACAACCTTCGGGCAGACTATGAGTGTTAATTTATACATGTTATCAAAAAAGTTCATCTTTTAATTTCTCCTTGTACTGTGAAGTAAGTTCACGGATGTTCTTTTGTTTGTGAGAGAACTATAAATCTCTTTGAGTTGCAACAACACTGGCAGGGTGAACAAGGCTGGAGAAGAACCAACTTTATTCACTCAGATTAACAAGAAAAAACAAAACAAACTGAAGCTAATGGTGTTGCAACAAGTTTTAAAGCTAGTTCCTGTCACTCAGTGGTTACAAACCTTAGGATGTTTAGGCAGACGTTTCCCTCCAGGTCGATGTTAGGATGATAAACCATTGTCTCGCATTTTACCTTAGGAGGCTCATGAGGGTACCCCTGTCCTACCTACACACAAACACAGACACACACACACACACACACCCTTAACATCATTTTCTTACATTTATCTACACTTGGGGGGAAAGAAAGTGCAATAAAAAACTCTCACCTTAAAGCTGAAAAGAAATTTTCCTCCTTTGTAAAAACCCTGAGGAAAACAAAAACAACAGAGGTCTGAGAAATACATCACCAACTCATTAATTTTTAACAATGACGAGGAGGAGCTCTGTCATGGCAGAAACAGCTGTGTCATTGTATTAACACTAGTATCTCAGTAAATACAGCTGTGGCCAGAGGAAAACCTGGCCTGTCATGATTTAAAAAACATCAGCCGGCTTAAGAGGTTAAGATGTTCTTCCAACGCTTTCTACTCATCCACACCCAAATGGATGAAGTTCTACCAGCTCTCAGGATTCAAATGATCTGAGGACCTTCAGAATCTAGTGACTGTTAGGATCTCAGAACCTGTAAGATCTCAGGAACCACATTACCAGGTCCTCGGTGGAGTGTTGTGTGACTCAAACAATAAATCAATTAGTGATCCTAATTACAATGAGAGGAAACAGGAGGTAAGCCAACAAACCTCATCAGGCGAAATGATGAGTCTGAAGTTCAAGAGGTCATCATCATCTGGAAAATTGATCTCACATGTCTTGGGCAAGTTCAACTCATTGATGTCTGAAAGGAAGAGACCAGAAATATTGATCAGTCATCAGAAACTGTGATTACTGCAACAAAAGAAACACTTTTTTTCCCCTTCTTCTTTCACGTAGTCTGATGACTATGTGAAATCCAAAACCCTATTCTTCTGATTTTAGGAGTTTAAGTGCTGTTCAACTGAAAACTCCATTTCTTTTTCCTCCTGTCCTCTGTTGAACATCTTTTAGCTTTTGTTTGTAGAAACATGAAGTCACCATTTTTTCCTATGTGGTTGTTTTATCTAAGTTTACTGACATGGAATTCTGAAGAAAGACATATAGAAAAGATTCAGCTAATTTGATCAAATCTGGGCTTTTTTTAAACTTTTTTCCAGATGTTGTCATCCAAGCACAAAGTAACAGATCGTCTTTTACTTCTTTACTAGCTAAACATTTCAATATCACTTTTTGACAGCTTTATAATTTGTTTTTTGGATTGTCACACTATCCAGGGTGTACTCCACCCTCAACCCTGTGACCCTGTGAAAAGGATTAAGCATTAAAAAAATATGGATGGGTAACCCATTTGGCTACAAAAACAATTTACCTTGACAACTGCTTTGATAATGTTTGGTAAAAAAAAAAAATATATTCATGTTATCTATCTAGCCACCAAAATGAGAAGCATTGCACACAAACCGTTAGTTTAAAGTCTTGCTTTTGGTGTGTGTGACTGAAACTCGGCGTTTGTCTGTTTTTGTTTCGTCAGCTGTAGCTTGTGCTAACAAACGCTAACAAAGCGCAAGATTTGCTTCATCAACGTTATGATTTCAAAACAGTAAGCTCACTGTTAGCTCAGTAAACACTAAAATAAAGTCGGTGTCAGAGAATAAAAACAAATTAACAGTCACTCTGGTGTGTTTTTAACTCCACCACATGCTAAAGGTAACTTCAGAAATTAGCTACATTTGGGTGTAAATGTATTTAAAAGCTAGTTAGTTTTTGGCGTCGTTGGACATATAATATGCTGAAAGTCAATGTTAAGAAACAGTTTACGGGCCAACTTTGCCTGTTTATATGGCAGTTCAATCCTTAGCTTTGTCAGTTTTGTTTTCAAATGTAGATATGCTAACAGATGATTGGAGAGGCTAAGCTAGATTGACTGTAAAATAACCCGAATGTCAGAGTTTTACGTTTACTTTAGTGACTAAAGATTTGTTTTATATCTAACATTTAGGCAGTTGCGCCAATAGCGCATTTCAATTGACAGCTAAACGTTAAACTGTGTTGTTTCTATATGTGGCACATGCTAACGGCTAACGTTAGCTCCTTTAGTAGCACCAATTCCTCTCGACTTGGTCCCTGTTCATTTTCATGGTATTTCAGTAGTTTGTGATATTGGGACAACAGTTGTACTTTCGGCACCGTCACTGCGGCCGATTTTTGGTTCTAACCTCACATCTGACCCACCTTTCTGAATTCGCAGCTGGGCCGCACTGGCCTTCTTTCCTCCGGCTCCGGCTTGGTTTCCTCCCGCGGACTCCGCGTCTTTTTTCTGCTGCTTCAGTGAAAACAGTTTAATCATCTTCGCTGCTTCAGACTCGGCTGTAGGTTCTGTTTGTGTCCGTGGGTTAAAATGTGGTTCCGCTGGTCCAGAGTCCAAACAACAGCGGGAGGGGAGTGGGAGAGAGAGAGAGATTGAGTGTATGTGCATGTATGTGTGTGTATGTGACTGTGTGAGAGCCAGGGAGAGAGAGAGAGTGAGAAAGAGTGATAGAGAGAGAGAGAGAGAAAGAGAGAGTGAGATTTTTGAGGTTTTCAAAAATTTCACGTTATCAAATATGGTACCATGGCACTGTCCATCCGTGCAGTTATAGAGATGGTGTATATGATTTCTGGTTTTTTTTCCTTTTGTTGGTAAGGTATTTATTTGAAGGCTATTATAAAGTACATTATAAGGAAGGAAGAGTATCACTTCATCTTCCGGCATCCATCTAGATACCGTTTCCCCTTAGCAGAAAGACCACAACTCGAAGCATTCTTTCAAGCTCTGTAAGGGTTGCCTTGACAAAAAAAATGTTTTACCTGGTTCTCCAGAAACGTCCACTCACTGAGGCAAAGGTCTTTAAATAAGCGATTCCTGAGACGTGTTTAGAAAATGTTCAAAACATGAATCCCAACTAATCGTTCGTAATTAAGCACAATTAATTCCTTCCATTTCGTTGTACCTCTGTGTTACAATGACAATAAAGATCGTGATTAATTTAGATTAATCAACATCCCCAAATATGACAAAAAGTTTTCTCCATGTTGCCGGTGAAGACAGACAAATGACAACAGGCTGATATATGTGATTAACATCTGTATTTATGACTAATCGAAATAATGACAGCATATGGTGAATTGTAAAGAAAAAGAATGAGAGAGACGGAGAGAGAGAGAGTGAGGAGTGTTTATTTATATCGCGGTGAAACTGACTCTTTCAAGATGGCAGACACACCGGCGTATCTCCGTATGTGACGGCCATATTTGTTGTTCGTCATTCTGTTCTGTGGGTCGCTGTATGTGACGCAATTTGACAATATCCGGGAAACAAATGCGGTCCTGTTCGAGTGCAGCCCATGAGTCGGAAAACGGTAAGTGTTTGTAATGAGTGGCCGAGGAGGATGCGACCTGAACCGAGGAGGTGAGACTGTGCTCCGCGGCTCAAAGACTCCGAGCTGCCGCTGTGTGACAGCCAGAGCCCTGGTAAGACACCGAGGAGAGATCGGGGAGAGGCAGGGAGGGAGTGAAGCAGGAGCTGCAGGAGCAGCCAGCTGCTAACGCGTGAGCATCAGAAAGAAAGGGGGAGAAGGGTAAGTAAGACGAGGAAGCTGCGGCTCTTCTTTATTCTTTGTCAAAAGCCTGCGTTTGTGCGCTTCGCTCTCTCTAAACGTCTCTGAATCAATGCGCGTTATTACGAGCGTGTCTGTTAGCTGCTAGTTGTTAGCGCTTAGCCTTTAGCCTCTGTTCATCTGATCACCGATCAGTGACTTGTAAAGGAAAACTGATACAATAATCAATACCAGGGGGTCTCCTCTTGCTGGTACCATACTTAGTCAGTATCGAAAAGTGCAGGACTTAGTAACACCTCTCTCCCACCCTCTCTGTCTCCGTCTCCTTCTCCCCCCTGTGTCCTCCTTTTCTGTATCCCTCTTTTTCTCCCTCCTCTGCAGCTAACCTGTTGGGGAATGTCGGGTACTAAGGTGGTGGGCGGGGCTTCAGGTGGAGGTAGCAGCGGGGGCGGGGCCAGACGTAGGAGGACACGGTGTCGTCGCTGTCAGGCGTGCAAGAGAACGGAGTGTGGAGACTGCAACTTCTGTAAGGACATGAAGAAGTTTGGAGGGCCAGGCCGGATGAAACAGTCCTGTCTACTCAGACAGTGCACCGCTGTGAGTGGACACACGTGAATCTGTCACCTGTCTCTGCTCTTCCATCCGTCTCTCACCCCTCTCTCACATGGCTCTCTTCTGTCCCTCACCTTTTCAGCCCGTGCTCCCCCATACCGCCGTGTGTCTGACCTGTGGTGAGGCTGGGAAGGAGGACACTGTAGAGACAGAGGAGGAGAAGTTTAGCCTCAGTCTGATGGAGTGTACCATCTGCAACGAGATCATCCATCCCAGCTGCCTGAAGGTCAGAATGAAATGTGTCACTTGCCCTTTACCAGGTCTGTGGAAGTGTGAGGTGAGCTGGTGGTCAGATGATCACATTTGCTCTTTGTCCTCCAGATGAGCAGAAGTGAGGGAATCATCAATCAGGAGATCCCAAATTGTTGGGAATGTCCCAAGTGTCACAAGGAGGGAAAGACCAGTAAGGTAAGAATAAGACGGGATGTCGCTGATGACACTGATTTAGTTTAGGCTGAAACGTGAGAAACTGTGGAATAGCATGCCATTATGCCAAACGTATTGTGATTCTCCACTGTAACACAGGACCAGATGGACAACTCTGGGAAGCGACGACTAGATAACGGAGAAGTGGTCCACTGGAAGCTCACTGATGACCCACCTCCTAAAAAAAAGGCCCCTCCTTCTGTAGAGGAAGAAGGAAAAATTGATACGGTTCATAAGAGGAAAAAGGACACGCCCCAGGACGGTGGTGCCAAGAAGAGGGTGAGGGCGGAAAACATATGCCCGAGAAAGGGCAACAGTGCTGTTGGCACGTGCTAAGTGCTAGCTCAAGTCACAAATTGAACACATATGTAACAGTTATTATTACCGGGATTAACTAACAGTCTTTACAGTATTTACTACAGAGAGCTAATTGTTGTTGTTTATGGTTAGCTGCTTGTTGGACTAAGACTTTGCACATTTTTTTAATTATGAAAGCGTTACAGAAAGACAATTTTTGACAATTTTCTTTTTTTTCCTGCAGATGAAAGTGTCGCAGGAGAAACGGCAGAAAAAGGTAGAAACAGGAGCCATTCAATTTTTGTCGTTCACTTCTTCCTGTTGCTCTTTTTTCTTTCCTTTTTTTGTTTACCTTGTCCTTTTTAACCTTCCTCTCTTTCGTTAGAAACCAAAACAAGAAGGGGTGGAGTCAAACGGAACGACGTCATCATCATCGGTCTCTGGACAGCTTGGCTCCTCCTCCTCTGCTGGGGGAGTTGGCGGAGCCTTGGACCAACACTGGCATCATCGGGAGAAACTGGAGCGTTTTCGGAGGATGTGTCTCCTCGAGCGCAGGCCTTCCTCCTCCTCCTCTTCCTCTTCTTCGTCGTCCAGCTCTGACTCTGACTCCGATGACTCCCTGAAGCAACGTGAAGAGGAGGAGAAGAACCTAGAGGAGGGGGTCGGGCGTCCGGCCATTATGAGTGGTAGACAAGTGGAGAGAGAGAGAGAACGGGAGCGAGAGAGACGATTGGCTGAACTGGGATTCAGTGCCAGTGAGGACTCCGATGGAGAAAGTGGGAGCAGGGGGGAGGAGCAGGTGGAGGAGCCACAGCCATGGGGCAATAAAGACACTTCTACCACGAATCGGAGTAGGAAAAACTCTTTCCTCCACCCCCCCTCTCCTCTTTCCTCCAATCAGGCGCCTCTGTCCGCCCAGCAGCGGTGCAATGGGGCGGAGACGCGGAATGGATGGATGCGGGGTGAGAAGGAGAATGCCAGCACTCCTGTCACCAACCACAAACACAGTGGAGGCAGAGGGGGTGGAGCCAAGGGTGGAGGGAGTCGCAACAATAAGATTAAGAACAACCAGAACCAGACGGGCTTCAGGACCAGAACTCCCCCCTCTAATGGAACGGGTGGGGGAGGAGGAGAAGACAAGATGGGGGCAGCGGCGGCACACCCTTGCCTCCCTTCTCGCTCTCAGCTGATGAAGCGCAGCCCATCAGCTGTGCCTTCACCATCACCACCACCTCGACCTGTTCAGATGGAAAGACACCTGGTGCCTCCTCCTCCCACCTGCCCTGAGCCCAGCAGTTTGCCCCTTGAAGGAGGCTCCGCCCACATCCTGAAGCGGGAGGCATGGCTTCACGTCTTCTCTTTCCTCAGCCAACCAGAGTTGTGCATCTGCATGAGGGTGTGTCGCACCTGGAGCCGCTGGTGAGGCTCAATCCTCCAGACACCTCATATATGTTTGACAACTCACCTACATACAAATGTCTTAAAAGAAAATAGTGACATTAGAGACTGGCTGCTGGTTCAATGCTGCCTCGTGTGGTCAGGTTTGTCACTGGTGTTACTCAAAGGGGCAGCATTGGACCAACCAAAACCAACTGTGCTGTGATCTGTCCACAGGTGTTGTGACAGACGACTGTGGACCGGAATGGACCTGAGTGGGCAGCGCTGCATCACCCCCCCCATCCTGAGTGGGATCATCCGACGGCAACCAGTGTCTTTGAACCTGGGCTTCACAAATATCTCCAAGAAACAGCTAATGTGGCTGCTCAGCCGCCTACAGGGTACGTTCACACACACACACACACACTCTCCAAACCTACTTACACATCTCATCTGTCTCTGTTTCGTATCCAAACCGTCTGCGTCTCAGGTCTGTTGGAGCTGAACGTCTCTGGTTGTCCGTGGAACGTCGTCTCCGGCCTCTGTCAGGTTCAGTGTCCCTGTCTCCAGAGGTTGGACCTAAGCAAGGTGGAAGACTTGAAGGACACTCAGCTGAAGGAGCTCCTGGCCACGCCCCATTTGGCTCAGGGCGCCAGTGGAGTGCCGACTGGTAGGTTCCAGAAGCTGCTGGAGCTGGGATTGGCTGGTACGGAGCTGACGGACGCTTCGGCACGTCTTCTGATTGGTCACGTTCCTGCTCTGAAGAGGTTGGACCTGAGTCACTGTGGGAACATCAGCGACCAGATGCTCCTCACCCTCACGTCTCCCACCTCCCCCCTCCGAGAACGCCTCACCCACATTAGCTTGGCAGGTAGGAGGGGTCAATGGGGGTGGAGTCACTCATCAGAGAATCACAAACTCTCACATTTCACAGATTCTGGACGCAGCCTGTCTTACAATAGTCATTAGTCATTGATCTAATCTTAATTAAGATGAATCAAGTTAGGACAATGTTAGCTGAAGTTGGGATGTTTTTCTACAGTAGGCTATCCTAAATCAGAACAGAAAGTTAAGCAAAGCTGTTTGAAATGTGTGCTGCTGGTGCCGTCACTGATCGCCTGTCTCTGTCTCTGTCTCAGGTTGTGTTAAAGTGACAGACCTGAGTGTGGAGCTACTGCGACGCTGCCCCTCACTGCAGAAGGTGGACCTGCGCTGCTGCTCACTACTGTCCCCAGAGGGGGGACAGCTGCTTTCCTTCCCAACTCACTCCACCACCTCCTCATGTCCTCCCGAGGACAGAACGCTGCTAAAGAACAGCTAAACTCCTTCTCCAACACAAGCCCACCATTAACTATGTTACACTAACGTGATGTAGAGCGACACGGTCATGCAGAGCTGAGCGTGGACAGTATTGCCCCCTGACTGTAAATATCTATAGGTTACTGGAAAAGACCTTAATTGTGACTCCTTTATTGATTTGTCCTTCATTTGTCTTTAGCTGCTTCACCCCTTGCCAATTTAACATGCTAACGTTTTTCTCTCAGCTTCCAGCCGTGGTACAAAGCAATTCATAGCAAAGATTCAATGCGTTTAGCTAAGGTTAGCTTAGCGACCAAACTTAGTTCACCTGAGATTAGTTTAGCCAACTATAGCGAAGGCTAACCTGATCCAGTTGCTCAATTCATCTCATCTAAAGACACGTCAAGCTAATTTAAAATCAGATAGGCAACATAGTGTGGGTTCAAATAATTTAATACGATATTGGCCAAACCAGATAGAATAGGCTGAGAACATCTCAAATGATCTAATATAAGATAGAATATGTTAGAAGGTTAAGGTGGACTAAAATAAAGTAAACCATAGCTATAGTAAACCAATCAGATGTTGGCTAGGATAAATAAACAAAGCCAGAATAATGCAAGTTAAAATATGATCAACTAATATTAACAAATCCAGAAACAGCTACGATCGTTGAACCAGGCGAAGTACATCTTAACTAAGTTAGATTGACCGAAGGCTAACTAGTCTGCTTGGCTGTTTAAATCAGGCTAAGCTAATCCTGGCTAAACTATGTTAGGTTAAGCTTCATGTTGTCTTTGCTCGTGTTCCCCTCCCCGGGTGGGGGCTATGGCTGTTTAAGGGGGGGGGGCTTATTCCTTACATACACCTGGCGTACACCTGAGTAATGACCATGCGACCTATGTCACAAACTTTGTTTTCAGTGTTAGCCCCCTCCCACCATTCATCATCCATCTGCCAACACTAATTATGGTCTAGACACGTTTGTTTTTTTAATTTTCCTTATTCCTCAGGACTTTTCATTTTTTATTTTTTGTCTGTTTATTGTTTTTTTTTGGGTATTTATTATTTTTGATCCTGGTGGGATGCCTGACATTCCTGTGTGTGTGCGTGCGTGTGGGGTGGGGCATCCCGGGCAGCAGTTAAAGTGAACTTTCTACTGATGAAAAGTGTGTAGATATGTCGTGGGTGAACATGAAACTGGCCGATGGTATGTAGGCGGAGTCTAAGTCCTGCCGTGGTGACCACGCCCACCACTCGTAATTATGTTGATGCCATGTTTTTTTTTAAATTTTAGATATTTTCTAGGTGTTATTTTTTTAATGCCATCTTGTGCCATATGATGATAATGAAATGATCTCTTTCTCTCCCTCTCCTATTTGTGATTCACTGTTTAAATTTTATTTTTTTACGGTTTTTTCATGATTTTATTTTTTAACTGTTTTTGTCGTTTTACACTTGACCTAGCAAAAAGTGGAATCACACCTGATTGGCCTCTTGCTGAGGTCCAATCAGATGTCTTGACATATCTTAGTAAAAGTGTGTGCACTGGATCATCGCTCTCTGTTTCTCGTCTCCATGGAAACGAGGGAGGAAGATGTTAGAACAAAGGAAAAAAAACAAGGCAGCTATAAACAAAAACTATCATAACTGATGGAATAAAAGAGCAATGTTTGTTTTCACTGGCTCTTTGTTTTTACTGTCTCTGACATTACTATCAAACAGAATTATTCAACACAAAATAAAGCAGATTCAATGACAAAATGCATTGTCTTTTTTAGAAAATTATTAAGTCAAGTGACTGAAAAGTTCAGAGGTGGTTCAGCCAGGTTGTGTCAGCCAAAAAAGCAAACGCTTACCAACACGTGACACG